ATGAGTACTCTACATACAACGAAATAAAATATCTGGGTGACACATGCATAACATAATATAGTGATAATTATGACTATCAAGTGTGGGAATATCATTAAAAAGCATAATAATCAAATAAGGTATCCTCTAAATCCATCGCAGACCTTCTACTGGATGCCATGTTGACAAACACCTCGCGAGCAGGGTCGGGTTCGGTGGATCGAGATCCGTGGATCCGACCAAACAAACAGTCAGATCCACGGATCCAGTGGATCGAGATCCGTGGATCCGACCAAACAAACAGTCAGATCCACAGATCCAGTGGATCGAGATCCGTGGATCCGACCAAACAAACACGCCCTTAAACTATAGTCCGATCAGGTGCCCATTGTCAGAAACAAAAGTAGTCTTAGCATTAGCCGTAACATTAACTCTGACTTGTAGACCGTTGACAGACACGGTGTAAAGCTACAAGAATGAAAAATCCTAGCAAATTCCCTCTTAACGATACGAGATCCTAGATCATCTCGTAACTTTAAAACTAAAAAGAAAATAACAAGTCTGCGAATGTAATGCAGGGAGTACAGTAATAACCCGCGTATAAGAACATAGATTTTTCCAAGTTAGCCTCAACATGTTCTTATATAAATGGTGCTTACTGAAAAATTAGGCTCAAAAGGTTCTTAAATAGGTTCTTAATTGTTTCTACTTTTAATATGTATAAGCTTATACTTGATTCAAATTGTGTTAAAATTTTCTTACAAGAACTGCAATTTTTGCTAAAATTTTAATACCCATGATGGGCTACAGTGTAAGTTTTTCAGTGCTTACCATACTGTATGATACAGTGTATCCAAGGAAACAAAACAACATGCAAAAAGATGCGTGTTTCTTTTTAAGTCTTCATCTGCATGAAAAATTAAGAACCTTAGCTACTTTAAAATCTTAGCCTAAAACAGGTTCTTATGTAAAGGGGTCTAAATGGGAAATTTTAGCCTAACATGTTCTTAAAATCTATGTTCTTATACGCAGGTTATTACTGTAGTCAGTTTTATATAGTTGCTAATAATATTGTTACACTTGGTGACATCCATGTGTGGGAACTTGGAAGTACATGATATTGAAATTATTTCTTTGAATTTAAATTGAATAGGGTCATCAGTGCACTAGTGAGACTTGTATTGATTGACACTACAATGGATACAGAAATCGATGATTCTTTATACAGGTATGTATTGCTTAACTCTTCATGAATATATAATTGTATAGGAAATAACCTATTTAAAGAAAAAATATATGGTGCTTTACAGGGGTAGAAATAAGGAGAAAAAAGAGATGGTCCACAGGACCATCTAGTTTGAAATTTATATGGTCCTCCTAAATTTGAGATGGTCCTAAATTTCAAATTGTTCTCTAAAAGTAATGCGGCATGCAAGCGTAAGAAATAGATTTTACATGGTGATAAAATGGTTTAATTATTCGATCACCTACAATGAATGTATAAAAACGATACAGTAATTATTTATTCACTTTAATAGTATATTGGTTAATAAAGTTGTTTCAGTAGAATTTAGTTGAACCCATAACACCGGAATATAGTATGTCTCAAATATTTCTTAGAAGCACATTCATTCATTTAATACAGTTAACATTCTTTCAGTCAAGCAGTTAATTCAAGCGATTATAAGCCTTCTTGGCACACTCCATCATGTCCATCTTATCTAATATTTGTTCATCTTCTTCTTCAACATAATCCTCACTATCTTCGGAATATTGCACGTGAAACTTCAACGAAAATTACCGTAAAATGGGACCAAAATATTTAATGGTCCGTCGGACTTTGAAAATCTGATGGTCCTCCTGATTATGTGATGGCCGGGACCATCGGATCATCGCTTATTTCGACCCCTGCTTTCTAAAAAAAATTTCTTTTCATGAAATGTTTGATGAATGGACATAAATCATTATCCAGTAAACTGGATATAATGTTGGCTAGTTGCTTATAATATCACGTGCTATTAGTTTTTATGTCAATGTGTTAGTTGGTTTATTTGTGTGACCATTTTGATTGAAACACTTCGATAAGCAAAATTGTGATTTAAAAAGGTATCATATTAAAGCTATCGATATTTGCTCTGTATATATTCGAAAGTTTATTAGTTCTTAACTAAATATTATCATAGAACTACAGCATACAACTAAGCATCCTTGTAATAATCATCGTTGAATATATTATCGCTGCAGCCGGCAACGATATGTCCTGGGAGATAGTGCAATGCAGAAGATGGCTAGATCCAATGTTCTCATTGTAGGACTTGGAGGACTGGGAGTCGAAATAGGTGCGGCAAAGTTTAGCACATCAACTTAATTCTAGCAGGGGTTAATAATGAACATAGTGAACAAAATTTGTCACATTTGAACTTTGTTAGCTTCAATCTTTGTCACCTTTGTCATTTGTCACATGTGACATTTGTGAAATATGACACATTTGTCATTACCAATCACTGATACTACTAGGTCATTCCATCATGTGAGACATCGTGTTTTATATTGTTATGTCATACGGTGTAAGAATCAAATTCCTCTAAATTCTAAATAACATTGATAGCGGGTGTAAAGTTTTTATGAATTTTTAAATCTTGAATCTTGTTTTTCATAATTGTTTTTTTTTGCATGCAGCAAAGGACATCGTCCTTGCCGGTGTAAAGGTAAGATAATAATTTTATTAATAATTATAGATTCTCAATTATTATGTAATATTAGATTAGGTATTTCTTGCTAGTGCTCGTAGAGTCAAGCATTTAATAACAAGACGGCGTAAGATTAGCGGAACCATCTTTTGTCATGTGTGTGTGCGCAGTTTTTTTTATGCAATGTGTATTTTTGCATTGCATCATGAGGATAATCGTGGATGCTTATGAATAGCAAAGTCGAATAATTTTGCAGAGTCTTACGGTGCAAGACTGGAAAGTGGCTACATACCATGACCTAGGCACTCAGTTTTTCTTGACTGAAGACGATGTCATCAACCAAAGAAATGGGTAGGTCACGCGTCAGTTAGTCGACTGTAAGTTAACATTGTTTTAAACAGCCTATACTGTAAAATAGATTTGTCTTTGAAATGGGTCGACTAATGAAATTAGTAGGTCAAGTGTTTCTTAGTCAGCAGTGTGTTTAATATGTGTATTGGCTTTGCAAAACAGCCTATACTGAAAGTCTTTGAAATGGCCAACCTAAACAAACGTGTAGGCCAAGTAACAGTTCAGTGGACTGTGTATTTAACATGTGTATAATATGTTTTGTTTCTAAATAGCCTTTACTGAAAAATTGATTTGTATTTGAATTAGTGTGCAGTTGAGTTACCGACTCCCATGTGTAACGTATTGCCGTGAACATGTCTATACAAAGTATTAGTATTTGCATAAAGTCACAAGTATTGGTATGTTTTACATGTGAGCATTATAATGCGTAATACCTTCACTTCTACATGTTTTTATTCCGTAACAAATTGTTATAAACGGTGGCATAACTATAATTTATACATAGTGTAATGATCCATATTTAACAGGTTTTCAAATATAAATTCCTACATTTATACGTAAATTTTCTTGCACGAATATATTAAATACCTGTCAATGTTTTTAGCTCACCTTGACATCGTCAAGATGAGCTATTGCCATGGGTCGTCGTCCCTCCGTCCGTCCTTCCGTCAACATTTGGTTACGGTCAACGATAACTCAGGAACCGTTTGACCCACATGTTTGAAATTGGGTATAGTTGTTACTGCTATGGTCGCGTTTTGAACGTCCTATTTTGGAGCACGCTAGTTGATGTACTTTCGAGCCACGGCAATTTTTTGGCAAAAATGGGAATTGCCATTAGTCAGTTCAGGTTTAACGGATTTTGCACATTTTTGGTATGTGAATGAATAAGGGCCAGGGGTTTTGATATTTAAAAAAAAATTAAGCAAATTAGGTAGGTTTTGGCAATTATATAGCATATTATATAGACACGCAGATAACAGTCTGTGGTGTCACACTCGTCTGGTTCGTTTTACAAGATTTCATTGACAATATTTTTAATGCAAAATTGGTATTTCCTTTCCACCCTGTCGATAAAACGTCTATATTAGAGTAAAGTTTTACAAAACATGTCGGAACGCAGCATAACCTATTTATTTCGAACGCCATCGCTAAGAAACATCAAAGCGGGCATAGCGCCATCTACCGTCACAAATTGTGATTCATTTTGGTTTATAAATTATTATTGCGATATACAGATGGCAACCGTGTGCTACCGCCTAGAAAAACTTATACGAAGTAAACACTTCCATGCAACCAATTAACCTTTGACAAAAGTTGTGTTATGGGCAGGGAAACACCATTGTCACGTGGTATATAGCAGCTACGTGGAATAAGCGTATCCTCTCAATCTTGCACGTTACACATCGGGAGCTCCGCTTTTAGGCAGTGCTTAAATCTGAATATTATAAAAACGTTAAATGGCTATCATTTAGGTGTAACGCCATCACTCGCCCACATCTCAGACTTTCACATCTCAAACATTTATTTTCACATAAAAAATTACACATATAATTATCAAGAGTATATAATGGGAGTTCTTCCATATATACTCTTCATTTCTATAATGTACGTCAATGGTTGCTCAATTAAAACTGACTTCTTCTCACTCACTCATTTGTGTCTTTTTTTGTGGTGAGCTACAGTGTCATTGACACTCTTATTAAAATAGTTCGCATCAGAATGAAAGGCGACCAGCTTATACTGTGCTAGAATGGAATTTAGATGGAGAATACCCACAAAGGCTATAGACTCAATATCTTATGCAATCTTATGTAACCACGATAGTTTCTTACTGTGAATCTTGACTGTCAATTATCCCATTTATGTTTTGACAGGGTTGGTACGATAACAACTACTGTATTAAACAGGTGTTTTGAACTGCTTTAAAACAAAGTGTTTTCTGCTTGAAAAAAACTCGTATTTTTTGCAGATAATGGCGAATGAATACATTATTTTAATTTCCAAAACTTCACCCTAACCCCCACTCCACCCCACCCCTCCCCACCCTACACACGCGCACACTTGCTCTTGCTCGCATGCACGCACGCACGCGCACACACCCATGCACCCCACACACATACGCACACATCGCACACACACACAAACACACACACACACACACACACCACACACACGCACGCACGTACGCACATGCACGTACACGCACATACACCACACACACACACGCACACACACCACATATGCACACGCAAACATGCACACACACGCACGCGTGCACACACGCACACACATGCATACGCACACACACACACACACACACACACACACACTCACACACACACACACACACACACACACACACACACACAC